CATTTAACATATATTTGTTTCATATGTATTCGGTTCACAATGGTAAACTCTTGTCATATGTTTTTCACGCTAAACAGGTTCACATTGTGAACTAGGTACATGTGAAACAAACACAAATATAAAACAAATATATGGTAATCACTACATTAAGTTATGAACATGTACGTAAAAAATCATATGTATACGTAAACTCTTCTTCACCGGACTATTAATGTAATTCGAAAAATTTCCGACACCTTTTAATTTAATTCTTTTAAAATGAAAAATATCAAACCAAACATATAGGGTTTGCAGGAGTAGATAGGGTCTAAGTGAATGCAATGTATGAAGATAGGGTCTAAGTGAAAAATATCAGATAGGGTCTAAGTGAATGGCGATGTATGAAGATCTGACATTTTTCTCCAGGAGTAGATGAACAATTTATTTAAATACCTTGACATATACAAAATGTGCGATAAAAATATAATAAGTATTATTTAACGGTTTGCAGGAAAATAAACTCCAAAAGAACTTGATAATACAAAAAACAATGCTAAAAATTGAAACGTCTTGCGGGTGACTTAGCTCGTGACCTAAGGCGCTCCAAAGATCGTTTACGTCATTGACTAGTGATAATATACGTGAGAGGACTCAGTGATGTGCGAGCGACTTGGTCCACAACTTAGGTCGTGCCAAAGGTTGTTTTCATCGCTAATTTAATATCATATGTGTATCATATGTTACGGACTATAATACTTAAAAATAGTTATTTCTATTAATTTTTGTCAAATAATTAAATATTTTACTAAAATTGAAAAAATACAAATAAATTTGGGCGTGGGTACGAGAATCCCGTATAATTCGGTCAATCCGAAACCTGACGATGTTCGATTAGACGTAAAAAGGGTGGGACCTACGCTCTTTCCATACGTCAAATCTCTGTCATACATGTCGGATGGCTTGGGTCCCACACCTCRCTTGGATCTATGCCATTCTTTTCATTTTGCTACCTTATACTTTATATATATTTTATATTATACCCCTACTTATTCCCTTACTTTTTATTTTTAACCCTCGTAGATTTAATTGTAACCCACATTCCCAACATACGTTCTTGTTTTTGTGATTGATTAAAAATTATAAGAAAAGTTGAGTCGTTAAATGACTTTTACAATTGTCTTCGAATGATTTTTATAACGGTTTTGAAAATTGACGAATTTATATAAGTTTGACTCGGGTTGAAAATGGTAATTTAATAGGGTGTTTCATTGTTCATTTTAAAAATGATTTAATTAAAAATTAACATTTTATCGTAAAAATTTAGTATTTTTTGTCACTTTAATTTTGAATAATCAGTATTTTTTTTTACATAATTGTTTGACGAATTTCAATTATTAAATGCATGAATAAATGACAATAAACGATATTTTTTTTAGTGAAAAAGAAACCTCTTATAGAATAAAGTTAAATAAAAAGTCATGGAGAAATATTTTAGTTATCATTTTCTTGAGAAAAAAAATACATGATTATYTAGGATGGAAATTGGCGAAATTTGGAAGTATAGGGACGGGTGATGTAAACTATAGAAATAGAAGGGGTAAAAGTGAAAAGTGGAGGAGAGGTGTGGCGCGTGTGGTYGCACGTGGTCCGTACGAATCGTGGTAAAGTCACGTCCGAGTTGCGTCAAATCTCAGCCGTCCATGAGTCCACCTAACGATTATTTAAAATSCCTATGGCCCACCACCATGCCCATTGGTATCTTGTTTACATTATTATATCTAATCTTTTTATGTTTGGAGCATGAGATATTATTGGTGGGTAAATATAGTTTTTGTCTCTGAACTGAGTTGATCAGGTTGAAGGTATTTGAACAATTTAATTTATTATTTATGTTTTTAAAAAATCTTAATCAACCTAATTTAAATTTTACAGATTGGTTGGGTTAGTATTTTGGTATATTAAAATACAAGAATAAAGTCGAGTTCATTAGGTTGGGTTGAGTTCAAATAATTGTAATCAATATCTACAATTTGAAGATTTTACAACTCAATTAGATATTGGGTTGCTTCAGATTGGATCATTCACATTGGGGTTGGTGAGGTTTTGTGCACCCCTAGTTCAGGGTAGGCTAAATGTATTGTTGCCTATTTATTTACGTTTCAAACATTCTAACGATACCACCATGTAGATATAACGACAGTACAAAACATATTTATACTGCTAGCAAGCAGCGTATTACAGAATGACGATACCATCGGGTCATCTGAAAATATTATTAAAGTGTAATTCTTCAATTTTCTATACAATTTAATTGCACGAAACTGAAGTCATTGTCACTTGGGTGAGAGGATGAATATATCTGTTTATAGGATAAGATGTTTGCATACTTATTATCTGATACCTAATTATCAGTATTATCGTCACACGTATCAACATTAAGACATCATTTATACATTTTTAAATGTAATTTAAATAAAAAAAAGTGATTTTGATAAGAAATTAATGATAGTGAATAAATGTGTGAAATTGAAAAGGGAGCAGTTATAAACTAGAGTCAGAAGACCTTTGACCAATCAGCATCACCTGTTACCATTCACATGCACGTGAAGTCTTTTTTAGGCACTTACAGCCATTTGCCTTTTTATTGCACACATATATTCATATTTTCATTATACACATAAATAAATATTACATGT